CAGCATAGATGCCAAGCTCTTGATTTGGGATTCCACAAGTGCTCAGATTCTGTTGAAAATAAGAGGTTTATCTGTGTCCCTCAGAAACAGACTGATCACTGTGGATTTATTGTTTCAATTTACACAAGCACACAGCTGAGCTGGCCCCAGTTAGCTGGTGGTTTCTCTTTTGAACATGAATTTCTCTGGGTGCCTTCCTAAAAAAATTCTCATTTAAGATTTGCCAAATGAAATGCATGTGGGAGGTGGTTTTGACTTTGGCTGGAAGAAGTTTATTATGATTATTGTTATCAGTGTTATTACTGGGGTTTTGTCCAGTCTGCTGCATCAAAACTGGCTGTTCCTCACATTCCCTCATTCCACTACTCAAGAGAGGACAGAAATATCATCAGTATCTGAGAAATCATAGGCTACCACTCAGAGACTCAAATCTCATACAACTTCTGCCTAACCCCTGCCTGGAACCAACTGAGAGCATCCCAGATGTGCTTTTGCTCACAGGGGAGATAAATGAGAGCCATTTCTTAAAGCCTGCTCCCTGTCCTGACCGTCATCTTCACCTAGGTGGTTTTTTTGGGGGCAGCTGTAGTAAAGGTTATACTGCAACATAAATAAACAGAGCAGCTTTTCTTCAGTGCAATCATCCACGTGGTGCAGGTTTGCCACTTATCCATAAGTATCCTGACAGCTCATTATCCAGGCAGGAATACAGGATGCTATGATATGCTGGACTCCAAAAAAGAAGTAAAAATCTCAAACAATCCCCAAATAACAATTGCCTTAATTTCAGACAAAACAGGATGTACAGTTTTATTCCTGCACTGAACTGCTTTATATTTATTGCCTCTAAACTTCTGGGTAGGGAAGGAGGGCTGGAACTTCCTTTTAAACTTGTAATTAATTGTTTGCAGGGGAAAAAAGAACAGGGAGAAGGAAAAAAAAAAAAAAAAAAGCAAAGCCCTTTGATATGTTTCCACTTTAAACTGAGTTGAATGCATTGCAGAGGCCCTGGCTGATTGTCACTGGGAAGTGTCCAGCTGGGGACATGTGGCCACCCTGGGCAAGCAGAATGTGTATCCCTTGGAAGGGGAAGGTGGAGGTACCTGCCCCTACCCTGAGCAAGAAGCACCCAAATCCCAGGGCCATCTTCCAGCATGGCCATGCAACTGGTTTTCAAATGCCTTTTCTTTCTGCTGTGTGCATTGCTTTTTGTTTTGTAGATGAAGGGATGTCTGTGTGCTAAATAATGGGATTCTTCAGTTTCATATAAAAAAATGGGAGAGGAAGGGAAAACAGAAAAACTGATGTGTTTGGAGGCGGCAGCTCCAAGGGCAGAGGGGTTACCCAAGGCCACCCATTGCTAGCTGAAAACCTAAGAGCACCATGAGGAGCTGCATTTAGGAATATCCCTGGTGCTGCTCAATTTGGTGTGACATCTTCCCTTAGAGAGGGGATGGACATGGAGAGCTGCTTACACGCTGTGGTCCGGGATGGGTGTGAACCGCTTGCTACAACCATGTGGAGCTGCCATTGGGAGGTCACCTGTTTTTTGGGTCATGATATGGGACCAAAAAACAGAGCCAGGGAGGTACTGGGAGACAGGGCTGTGTCTCAGGGAGAGCTGTGAAGCATCCTGCTAAATGAGCTCTTTGTTTTTGGTGCTGGCAGAGCCAGGGGAAAGCTGACATGGAAACTCGCCTGGGAACTCCTGTGGCCAGGGATGGATGGCTCCAACTGATGGCAGCTCTGCACGACAGGGCTTTGTGCCACTTGTGTAAGTTTTAATCAACGTTGCACATCCAGCACGAGGTTCTTTAATCCACACTGGCTTCGAAAGAGCTGGTTTGCAAGGGCGGGGAGCATCTGCCACTCCTCTGCAGTTATGGGAGGCCGTGGGTGGAAAACAAGGTCCTTTTGAGGGATGGCTTGCAATGGCACCACAAACCGTTGGCATGCAGGGCTTGCCTGGCTCAGCTGGAGGGGTAAAGGCTGCCAGTCTGTGTGTGGGGAAACCAAAACAGAGGGTGTTGCCTTGGCAATGCTGCCTTGTCCACATCCTGCGTGCTGCAGAGCAACCACAGCGACTGGGGATGGAGGTAGAGTTTGCAGAAAAGCTGCAGTTTACTGGAAACTGCTATGCTGTGTCACTGTGGCAAGGGGGAGAGAACTGGAGGTCATTTTGCTAGTTAAGTTCTTTAGGCCCAACCCTCAACAAGCTTTTGTGTCTTCATGAAGTTCCCTCCAACCTAACAAAGCTCAACCTGCTCCCCTCAGCTGAGATGCTGCCTGACTCAGGCAGGAGGAGCAGAGCTGCTCTAAGGTGCTCCCTGCATCCACAGTGAGAGCAGTGGCAGCTCTGGGGGCAACTGACCTGTGGGGTGTGCCTCAAGTATTTCTGGATTATTTCAACACTCCTGTGCTCTGTGGCCAGCTGCAACTCAGGGCTTGTGGAGGCGACATGAAATCAACTGACCTACAGCCACCCCCCTTTCCTTAACGCAGATGAGACAACACTTTGTGCAGTTGATGCTAAGGAGTGCAAAGCAGGAATCGCATTATTAAACAACCATTTCCTTCTGTTACTGGCTTTATGTCAGCTTTATACCAACTTTCCATTGCAGTGACAGCTGTGGTTCAGGCAGGGAGAGGCTAATTTCTGTTACAGCCTGTGAGCTCCTGATCCACCCAGCAGAGACACAGCTATGCTGTCACACAGTGGCATCTATTTTCCCTGCTTGCACCTGCAGACTTAAAGGAAAACTGGATGAAACCTGACACCGAGGGTGAGCAGTTTCCTTAGCAGGGATTGCACGTTGCTGTTTCGGAAATGGTGACTAAGAAGGGTTTTGCCGCCGAACTCGCAGCAGGCTACAGAGACCTTCCTCAAACGTAAAAGACAAACACCAAAAGCCACCACCCAGCAAACACGACCAGCTGAAGCTTCATCTCCTTCCCACCATCAAACCTTCCTGCCAGAAGCCACGCGTAAATGCTTTCATTCCCTAAAGCGAGCGATTTGGAAAACTACTGATACGGATGTTGGATAACAGGGTTAAAGTGAAACTATTTTGCAAGCTGCTGCCTGGAGCCCACTCGTCAGCACCGTCTGCACACGCGCGGCTGCCGTCGGCTCCGGAATCACCGAGACTGTGGCCAAAAGATCAGTTCTGAGTTTAGGTGAGCATTGGCTCCGGAATCACCGAGACTGTGGCCAAAAGATCAGTTCTGAGTTTAGGTGAGCGCCACTGTCATCCCTGGATGCACTGGGAGCTCCTCAGAGCCGTCCTGGGCCCCCCCAAACTACGGAACGGGCAGCGCTGTCTATCCGGGCGGGCAGCAGCCCCCAGCCGTGGCCCTCCCTGGGGTCGATCACTTGGGCTTTTGGCTACGAGAGGCTCAGGGGGCTGCCAGAGAAACAGTGGATGCCCCATCCCTGGAAGTGTTCAGGGTCAGGCAGGACGGGGCTTGGAACAACTTGGTCTAATGGATGGTGTCCCTGCCCATGGCAAGGGGGGTGGAACGAGGTGTCCTTAAAGTCCCTTCCAATCAAACCGCTGTAGGATTCTGTGGTATTCAAAACGTGTGTGTGGAGCTCGGCTGCCCCAAAACCCCGGGTGCCAAGCAGACAGCCCCAGACACAGGTCCCCTCAGAGCTGCTGCCCACTCATCGCTCTTTCCCCACTCCCCATTCTCACCCCCTCCCCCGGGCGGCGCGAAGCAGATGATGTGGCCTTAAAAAAAAAAACAAAAAAAACCAAACAAACAAAGAAAAAACTAATAAAAGGCGAGAAAAGCCCTGGATTTGAGTACCACAGCACCGAGGATAACGCCTGGGGAAGCCCAGCCCCGGCATCCCCCTCCCAGCTGCTCCCGGAGCCCAGACCTACCTCTGCTCCGCGGCCCCGTCCCGCCCGCCGGTCGCGGAGTGCGGCGGGGCCGGGAACGGGGAACGGGGAACGGGCCGGCGCGTCCCGCCCGCCCCCGCCCCCGGCCGGCCCCGCTCCGCCCGCCCCACCTGCGCTCCCCGCCCCTCCGGCAGCCCCACACTGCGGGGACACACCCTGGGGGGCGCGGGCCGGGCTGCCAGAGGGGCGGGGACGGGCACAAACCAGCCCCGAACCTGCCG